AGAGAAAATGTTTTGAGAAATGATGTACAAATGCGCTTTACACAATTGATGTGTGTATGGATTGGGATAACAGTTGTATGAGCCCCAAATAAAATGATTTTTTTAAAAGAAAAAAAAAAAAAAAGAATATTAAAAAGCAAAAAAAATAAATAAATAATAAAAAAAAAGAGTTAAAGTCTCAAAACTCACAAGGGCAATGTTACCCACTCGTATGGGGTCACTACGAGAGCACCGATTCGATGGCAGAGAGATTCATTTTTAATACTATATATGTTTGAAGTACAAATGTACACAGAATTTTTTCTGCGATGACATATTTATTATAAATTGTAAATGTGTGCATTTATATTACCTTCCCTTGACACTGCTGAGTAGTATCTGGTGCAATGGAAAATATCTGTGCAGCTTGAAAGTTAATAATTGAGTCCTGTATCTGTAACCAGCTCTATTAGAAACAGAATCTCGGGTGCTAGAAGCCAGAAAACTGTAATTTGTAAAAGCTCAAGTGGTTCCATTGAGGAAGCAAGATTGATAATCATCTTTTGTTCTTATTGGAGCTATACAGAAGAAAAATATATACATAATAAAAATCATCTAAATTAAATAATTACAAATTGATTAACAAGTGGTCTTGTTCATGAAATACTTACTGAACGCTCCCTGTGGGCCCAGCTCATTATTGGGCATGAGGATTTGAGTCTACCCAGCCTCTACCTTCAGCATGAATTATTTAGTGGCTACTTTTAATTTATGTGACACATCAAGAAGGTACAAAGACCTGTTCCAGAGACTCACTTGCATAATACCATGGCATACAAGGACTCTCCCACATGAATCAGCCAGGCAAGCCAATACCTGGAACAACAACAAAAGTCAGTCTAATTAAAAGTAGTGGTTATTTGTTGATAAACTCTAACACTGATCTCAAAAAGGCACCCTAGTTGGAATTTCCCCCTCTGATACATATAAATGCAATTTCAGGTCTTCCCGTCTCCGGTGAGCCTGCAGCTTCTGTGCTCGCCACCCATCTCTGCAGAGCTCCTTACCCATTGTGCATGAGGGTCTGATGATGGTCCACCAAGTACTGAGTGAAGGGGCCCAGAGGACCAAGGCTCTGATAGGGAATACTCTGAGGCCAGAAGACAACCCACTGAAAGAGAACCGAACGCACAAAATAACCGTTAGTCATTTGAATGGTCAAGTTTTTGCTCTCATGACTATGAACTAATACAACTATACTCAGTGTGATTAGCAACTGAAAACCAAAATAAACACCTCTGATCAAAGTCATCTGGACCTCATTTTTTCTTAAATCATTTTATTGGGAGCTCGTACATCAAACACATTGGTACATATGTTGCCATCATCATTTTCAAACATTTTCTTTCTACTTGAGCCTTAGGTATCAGCTTGTTTTCCCCTCTCCCCCATCCTCCCTCCCTCATAAACCCTTGATAATTTATAAATTGGTTTATTTTTTCATGTCTTACATCATCCCGTCTCCCTTCACCCACTTTTCTGTTGTCTGTCCCTGGGAGGGGGTTATAGGTAGACCATTATGATCAGTAGAGCCCCATTCTTGACTTCTATTTCTAAAAAGCTGTTCCACTGGAAGATTTATGCTGAGGAAAGTATGTGATTATTAGAGTTGTTGCTACAGGTTGATGTCTTCTATTCTTGATTAATTCTACCAAGGCTATTATTTTATAAAAATTCTCAACCAATTCTAAAGAGTATACGTACCTCAAATAGCTCCTTTGCTTAATAAATAATGGTTTGAGCCAACCTTGTTTATGAATTCTCTTTCCCTTCTTATTCATCTAGCTATTTATTTATTTATTTATTTATTTATTTTCTCTTGCCCTTCTTTCAGTTCCTGGTACAAGCAATTTTCAACTGGCTAACCTAAAGGTTGGTGGTTAGAATCCATTTACCAGCTCCACAGAAGAAAAGCTTAGTGATCTACTGTCATAAAGATTACTAGGGCCCGAAAAAACAAACAAACAAACAAA